TCTCTGTATCTCTGCTAGCTAAATAAGTAAATAAATAGATAGATAAATAAATAAATAAGAAATCCATACAGGATATGGGTGAAAGATTTTGCCAAGAGATAGAGAAATTGAAGAGAAATCAAACTGAAATGTTAGAAATGAAGAATTCAATATGGCAAATAGAAATCCTCAACAACAGACTTGGTGAGGCAGAAAGGAGAATATCTGAGCTAAAAGAAAAATCCTTAGAAATATCTCAGATCAAAAAAGAAGAAGAAATTAATAAACCTTTTAAAAAGACTGTTAAATATCTATGGGATACTATCAAACAACCAAGCATACAAGTCTTAGGTGTTCCTGAAGGTAGGCAAAGAGATAATGGATTAGAAGGTCTAATCAGTAAAATACTAGCAGAAAAGTTTCTTAATTTGGAGAAACAGGAAGCACATAGAACTCCTAATAGACATAATCAGAAAAGATCTTCTCCAGGACACATTATAGTCAAACTTTCAATAGTAAAACAAGAAAATATTCTAAAATGTACGTGAGAGAAATGCCAGATTACCTTCAGAGGTTCCCCAATTAGAATAACAGGTGATTTCTCATCAGACCCTGTTCAGGCTAGGAGAGAATGGAGAGATATAGTCCAAGTTTTACAAGAAAAAAAACTGTCAACCCAGAACACTGTACCAACAAAGCTCTCATTTTGAATGAAAATGAAATAATGAAATAAAGACCTTCCAAAACAAACAGAAATTGAAAGAATGTGTCACTACTTGTCCAGCCTTACATGATGCTTAAGGATGTGCTACACATAGATATAAAGAATGATAGTCATTAGTATGAAATAAAGTGAAGGCAGAAATTCTCTAGTAAAAGTACAAAGGAAATACAAATAAATCAAAAGGAATATTTATGGAAAAATGGTACAACCAAATCATTACTTATCAATAATAACCTTGAATATAAATGACCTAAATTTTACAATTAAAAGATACAGTCTGGATGAATCAATTAAAAAAAAAAGACCCATCTATTTGCTACCTACAAGAAACACATCTGACCAACAAAGAAACACACAGACTGAAAGTAAAAGATTGGAAAAAGATATTCCGTGTTAACAGAAAGCAAAAAAGAGAAGGTATAGACATTCTAATATCAGACAAAATAGACTTTAACAAAAAAAAATGTTAAGAGGGACAAAGAAGGACATTGTGTAATGATTAAGGGATCATTTCAACAGAAAGATCTGACTATAATACATGTATATCCAACCAATGCCAACATGCCTGCCTATTTAAAACAATGTTATTAGATCAAAAGGGAGACATAAACTCCAATACAATACTATTAGGGGGCTTCAACACCTCATTTTCATTCATGGATAGATTAATCAGACAGAAAATCAACAAAGAAACAACAGAGCTAATCTACACTATGGACCAAATGGACCTAAATGATATCTATAGAACATTTTATCCCACAGTACAGAATACACATTCTTTTCATTAGTGCATGGAACTTTTTCCAGGACAGATCATATGCTAAGCCATAAACCAAGTCTCAGAAAGTTCAAAAAAATTAAAATCATACCATGTATCTTTTCTGATCACAATGGAATAAAGCTGGAAATTAACAACTTAAGAAACTCTAGAAAATATGCAAACACATGGAGACTGAACAACATGCTCCTGAATGAACACTGGGTCATAAAAGAAATCAAAAATTATTTGATACAAATGAAGATGACAACACATCAAAACTAAAGGGATACAGGCCGGTGCTGCGGCTCACTTGGCTAGTCCTCTGCCTGCGGTGCCGGCACCCCAGGGTTCTTGTCTCAGTTGGGGCGCTGGATTCTGTCTCGGTTGCTCCTCTTCCAGTCCAGCTCTCTGCTGTGGCCTGGGAGTGCAGTGGAGGATGGCCCAGGTGCTTGGGCCCTGCACCCACATGGGAAACCAGGAGAAAGCGCTTGGCTCCTGGCTTCGGATCGGCGCAGTGCGCCAGCTGTGGAGGCCATTTGGGGAATGAACCAATGGAAAAGGAAGACCTTTCTCTCTGTCTTTCTCTCACTGTCTAACTCTGCCTGTCAAAACAAAACAAAACTAAAACTAAAACTAAAAGGATACAGCAAAAGTAGTGTAAAATAAAAAGTAGAGTGAGGCTTTCCTCACCCCAGTTAGAATGGCTATCATACAAAAATCAAAAAACAATAAATGCTAGCAAGGATGTGGGGAAAAATTTAGCCTAATCCCACTGCTAGTGGGAATGTAAACTAGTACAACCATTATGGAAGATAGTATGGAAATTCCTCAGAGAAGAGATCTGAAAATAGATCTACCTTATGATTCAGGCATCCCACTCCTGGGAATTTACCCAAGGGAAATAAAATCAGCATGTGAAAGCACTATTGGTACCCCCATGTTTACTGCAGCTCAATTCACAATAGCTAAGATATGGAATAAACCCAGATGTCCATCAACTGATGACTGTATGAAGAAAATGTGGTATACATACACTATGGAATACTACTCACCCATAAAAAAGAATGACATCTTGTATTTTGCAACAAAAAGAATGCATCTAGAAGCCATTATACTTTGTGAGAAAATTCAGTCTCAAAAAGACAAACATCTTATGTTTTCTTTGATATGTGACAGTTAACATAGAATATAAAAAATACATAGGGATATAATGGCCATTTTTGTGATAAGACTGTCATTGTTAGCTCTGGTTTACACTCCTTGGAACTGTGGTCTTCCTACTTTTTACTTGTTGAATATTATAATTAGTGCTGAATTAAGCCTGTGAATATAGAATGAACTAAAATTATGGCTTTGCAAAAACTGATAAAGAGAGGGGTGAAGGTGAGGGGCATTGGGGGGAACAGGGGAGTGAGGGAAATGAGGCTGTCTGCTTGGAACTGTACCTATGGAATGCATAAAATCTGCTCTGTTTATGTTCTAAAACATTTTTTTTAAAAAGAAATAAGAGTTTAACCAACTTGCCCAGAATCATCAGTTACTAAAAGAAAGACACTCTTTGATTGCATCCATTTGAACCTGCTTCAAAATCTTGTGCTTTTAACTATTGGCTTCAGATATGAGTAAGTGTAAAACTAATGTAATGGGTTCTTTTATCTTTGCTGCACAATAGATAAATATAAATATCTATATCACATTTTATTTATCATCTGGATTTTACATCTCATGTCTCAAGACAATTTTTCTAGCATTCAAAGAGATGAAGTCAAAAATCTTTACATTAAGGTTTTGTTTTATTATTTTAGGACTCAGTTCCAGTGTGTATTGTACCCATAATAGGAAATGCCTGTAGATGGACAAATATTGTTGGTCTTATCTTTGTGCCACAATGATACTTGAGTCATCACCAGCAATGTAGACTACTGGGACAGTGAAGTAAATATGCAAAATCAGAATGGTATTCAGCATCTTCCTCCACTGATGTGTTGGCTTTGCTAAAAACAGCCCAGATTTTGCTTGAATTGTAAACTAAGCAGATATGACTACAGGATACACGGGGAACAGATGTTGATTTTTAAAGGACCACTTATCCATCATCACTTTTTTATGTAATCAGTTGAAAGTAACATTCAATCCCTCTTCTTAAAATCATTGAATCTTTATCCATAAGAGCTAAGCCTCAATTTCAAGGTGAGCAGTAGAAAAACTCTAAGTATACCATAAATACACTTCAGTGAAATTATTTGTAGATGATCAAATTCTCTTCAATGCTCATAATTGTCTTGCTGTATATGCTGTGGAAAGACCATGACACTTTTATACCACAGAGAATAAGTCAATCGGCATTCTATCTAGCCATGATAATATACAATGACATTCTGTGTTCTGTTTTACATGAATATGGAATATTGATATTACCTTGCAGAAATAAATTCAAATAGACATACATATTTATGAATGGATGAATAGTCTCTAGGTTGAAGAAATATAGAGATTCAGAAACTGAAAAAAGTCTATGTTGCTGATTCCCAGGTGTGGACATTAGGCAAGTTATTTAGCTTCTCTGTGCCTTAGTTTCTGTTGGAAAAGTGGGAGTGCATGTAACAAGGGGATAGAACGTACAGTGATCACTTTAAAAATCCTAATAGTGAATTGTATCTGTTTTCTGTAATTATTTTTCAAATCATTTAAAACATACCAAATCAATTGAAATATCAGGAAATATTTGGAAATATTTGGAAAATATTAAGAAAACAATAATGTAACTGGCTATGGGTCAGAATCTAGCTAATCAAATAACTGAGCCGAGTAAGGGATCATCTTGAGGACAACAAATTTCCAGAATAATTTTGAATGGCATAAAAATATCTCTTAACTCCTCTCTCCCATTTTCTGTTTAAAGCATTTGAGTAGTGACTTGCACTTTGGCTGGATCAAAGCAAATTTCATTAATAGATGAAATGAAAATTCTCTCTTTGGACAGCGTATTCCCAGCCATGGATTGATGGACTTATCTATCACAACTGGACAAATGCATGCATAAAAGTCTTAACAGATATGTATCTCTGATACGAGGGTGTGATTTGTGTTACACGGCAGTTTCCTGCTGTATACTTCAATGAGATAATCTCCTCATTGCTATACTTTCATGCAAGTATTTCATTTTCCTAATTTTTCCCATGTGGTTTAACTCTACAGTTTGTCTTCCCATGCTTATTTAATTATTGGTTATGAATTCAAGAAATTAATACTAGTAAAAAATTAAAACGATTGGTCCTCTGTATATAAAATCAAACTAAAAATGAACCATAATGAAGAAGGAGATGGTAGAGGGACAGGGAGGTGGGATGGGAGGGCGGGTATGGGGGAAAGAACCACTATATTCCTAAAGTTGTATCTATGAAAAAATAAATTCATTAAATAAAAACTTAAAAAAATTAAACTATTATAAATTACACTTAAGTGTATCTACATAAGCTATAAATACTTATAGTTATTTTTATTATTACTGGTTTCTGAGAATCGGCATATTTTATTTCTTTTTTTTTTTTTTTTTGCACTCTGTGCTGCTTTTATTTTATGAAAAAACTAAGTTCAAATCTACAGTCAACTAAGTTGAATACAAAGTCTCAGTGAAGAAGGCCTGGTGGTCTCGTTTACAAAGACGTGGCCAGTGCCCTCTTTGGCCTTAAAATTTCAGGAAGGGCACTTCTAATGGCTTCGTGTTTGCATGTTTCAGTCAGTGCCAGAGCATAGGAATAGACCCTGGCATCCACTGTGAGATGTTCTTTGGCTATCAGAGCATCAAGTCTTTTGAGCAGGTCGTTCTTTGGTAAAGAAATGACTTCCACAAATTCTCCTCCTGGCTTTGGCTTTGGTCTGACGTTCTCGGCGTCATCTCCATTAATCGTTACTGTCACTATGTGGGTGGTGCAGTTGGACAAGCCTGGATCCATACATACAGCTGGAGAGCACTCAGCAATGTCACCTTTGTAGCCCATCTCCTCCTCCAGCTCCCGGAGCGCAGCTGCTTCTGGGCTTTCACCGTCGTCCATGAGACCTACCGGGAACTCGAGACAGTAGCCTCCCATTGGCGGCTGGAACTGTTTCACCAGAACTATACACTCATAGTGAAGAGTTCTTTGCAGCACCGGAATGACCGCTACACCATCAGCGTACTGTGCCTTTTTGGTTGTACGTTTCACTGTTTCCCAGGTTCGAGTTTTACCAGTAGGATCCGTGTAAGTTGTTTTTTCAAGCTTGACCCATTTTCCTTCTGAAATTAACTCCTCTAAAATAATACACTGTTTGGCATTCTGAGTAGAATCTGTTGCTTCTTGATTTTCCATGTCCAAACTGGCCTGTCTTTATAGGCCTCAGGCAAGCTGTTCACGCTCCTCCAAGGTGCGAGGTGAAGAAGGGAAGGGGAACGAAAGAAGAAAGGACGAGTCGGAGGGAGCAGTCTCAGCAGATGCCGGTGCCACGGCTAGGGACACCAGCGCCTCTCGCGATGCTACAAGGATGGGCGCGCGCCCTCCTCTCGGCGAATCGGCATATTTTCTAATGGTCTAAACATTATCCATTATCACTTTCTCTGCCAGTTAAACAGACCCTATATGTTTAGCAGTATCCTGGATCACCTGTATGAAAAACTGAATTTCCTATTTTCCTGGCAGCCAGGACTAAGTCTTGGCCAATGGAAAGTAAAAGGAAGTGTTCACTACACATTTGGAAAGTCTCCATTGAAAGAAAAATGGCATATCACTCATACTTTCACATTATCTTTTTTTAAAGATTTTATTTATTTATTTGGAAGGTAGAGTTAGAGAGAGAGGCAGAAGCAGAGAACATCTTCCATGCACTAGTTCACTCCCTAGATGGCCTCAATGGCCGGTGCTGGGCTGATCCAAAGTCAGAAGCCAGGAGCTTCTTCTGGGTCTCCAACATGGATGCAGGGGCCCAAACACTAGGGCCATCTTCCACTGCTTTCCTAGGCCACAACAGAGAGCTGAATTGGAAGAGGAGCAGCAGAGATTAGAATGGGCGCCCAAATGGGATTCTGGCACCGCAGGCCAAGTCTTGGCCCACTATGCCACAGCACTGGCCCTGACTTTCACATTATTTTCTTAAAATTATTTTAGGGGCTGGTGCTGTGGTATAGTGGGTAAAGCTGCTACCTGCAGTGCCAGCATCCCCTCTGAGCGCTGGTTTGAGTCCTGACTGCTCCTCTTCTCATGGGGGACCTGGAGTAAGCTCCTGGCTTCTGGCTTTGGATCCGCCCAGCTCTAGCCATTGAAGCTATCTGAAGAGTGAACCAGTAGATGGGAGACCTCTCTCTCTTTCTCTCTCTCTAACTTTGCCTTTCAAGTAAATAAATGGATCTTTAAAAAAATTTATTTGAGAGAGTGATCAAGTGGGACAGAGAATGAGAGTAAGAGAGAGAGAGGGAGGTCCCATCCGTTAGGTTACCCTCACATCCGGAAGCAAGGAATACAATCCAAGTCTCCCAAGTGGGTAGCAGAAAACCAATTATTTGAACCATCAACACTGCTCCTAGAGTGTATACATTACCAAGAAGTTAGAATCAGAAACCAGAGCTGGCAATCAAACACAGGCACTCTGGTAAGGGATTCAGGGGTCCCAACTGACTGCTTAACCTCTATGCCAAACACCAGCACCTAATTTATTTTTCAAATACAAATGAGATGAATGAGTTTCAGCAGCTATATGAACCCTAACAATTTAGATCAAATCCTATGACAGAGCACTGGAAGGAGCTAGGGTCACCAATAAACATAGAGATGTCATGTCAGTATTAGCCTACTCCTAAGCTTCTTTTTTTTTATTTTTTATTTTTTTGACAAGCAGAGTTAAGACAGTGAGAGAGAGAGAGACAGAGAGAAAGGTCTTCCTTTTTCCATTGGTTCACCCCCCAAGTGGCCGCTATGGCCGGTGCATTGCGGCTGGCACATTGCGCTGATCTGAAGCCAGGAGCCAGGTGCTTCCTCCTGGTCTCCCAAGCGGTGCAGGGCCCAAGCACCTGGGCCACAGCAGAGAGCTGGACTGGAAGAGGAGCAACCAGGACAGAATCTGGCGCCCCGAGCGGGGCTAGAACCTGGTGTGCCGGCGCCGCAGGCGAAGGATTAGCCTAGTGAGCTGTGGCGCTGGCCCTAAGCTGCTTTTACATGTGAGAGAATTAAGTCACCCCTACTGAAGCCATCTGCTCTACTATAGATGAACTTCATGTACATCAACATACAAGAAATTTTACTTAAACAGTCATCCTAGGAGGCATTCTACCCAAAATGGATTTCTTTTTATTATTTTTTTTTTTAGATTATTTATTTATTTGACAGGTAGAGTTACAGACAGTGAGAGGGAGAGACAGAGAGAAAGGTCGTCCTTCTGTTGGTTCACCCCCCAAATGGCCCCTATGGCCGGCGTGCTGCGCTGATCCAAAGCCAGGAGCCAGGTGCTTCTCCTGGTCTCCCATGCGGGTGCAGGGCCCAAACACTTGAGCCATCCTCCACTGTACTCCCAGGCCACAGCAGAGAGCTGGACTGGAAGAGGAGCAGCCGGGACTAGAACCTGGTGCCCATATGGGATTCTGGCGCCGCAGGCGGAGGATTAGCCAAGTGAGCCAAGGCGTCGGCCCCTCTTTTCATTATTACCACACGTTTTTGTATTTCCTATGAATTCTGCATTCATATATAGATAAGAATTTCTACAGTAAAAGAAAATGTTTGGGTTCATTAACTCTGTTTCCAAAATGTATAAGACTACATATTTTTTTAAAGAAAGTGATATAACATATATTCATATCCTTAGGTATTCTTTTCACAAAAATCACTATGGGGAATGATTTCTATTGTTTCTCTGAATTAGCATTTTCATGAACTGTCCATAATATTTTGCCTTTTGCTGATTAGCTGCTTGTATAATGGGTGGGGGGCTCTTTTTTCCCCTCAGATCTTGGCAAATTTGGTAGTTCTGTAGTATTTTTCATCTGGTTAACTGGTATACCAGACAGAATCTGTTCCTTCTGTGATACTCAATAAATTTAGATAAAGTCTGTGGAATTTTTGGGGGGTTATAGAAATTACTAGATATCTACTAGGAGTAATAATTCTCTTTTTATGTCTAGGTAAACATTCTAACCTCAAATAGCTAGTAACTATAGTAGTATCAAGAACACAATTTTTGTTATAGACCTTTCAATAGAAAAACTACCATGAGATTTGCTTTAAAAACGACATAGACACTGCCATTCATGTCAGAAAGAAAATTCACAAGGAAACAAAGAAGATATTTATGGTATCAACAGGAGACCTGACCCAGAAAATGTCTCTTAAATCATAGTTTTTTTAAAAAATTCTAAGATTCACTTTAAAATCATTGATCTGAGGCCGGCGCCACGGCTCACTAGGCTAATCCTCTGCCTGCGGCGCTGGCACCCCAGGTTCTAGTCCTGGTTGGGGCACCGGATTCTGTTCCGGTTGCTCCTCTTCCAGTCCAGCTCTCTGCTATGGCCCAGGAGGGCAGTGGAGGATGGCCCAAGTGCTTGGGCCCTGTACCCGCATAGGAGACCAGGAGGAAGCACCTGGCTCTTGGCTTCGAATCGGCGCAGTCTACCGGACATAGTGGCCATTTTGGGAGTGAATCAACGGAAAAGGAAGACCTTTCTCTCTGTCTCTCTCTCGCTGTCTAAATCTGCCTGTAAAAAAATAAAAAAATAAAAAAAATTAAAAAAATCATTGATCTAAGATAAGCCTGTCAAGATACATCTCCTTCTTTGTTAATAGTTACAATTCTATTAGTGTGCTTAAAGACATTTATCCCCTACCACGCTAGCAAAAAATTATTTTTCTTTTTTAAAAGATTTTTTATTAATAATAATTGCAAATGTGCATGAACTACAGTATATTTCTACACATGTATACTATGTGTACTGATCAAAACATGGTAATTAACATTTCCCTTCTTTGACATTACCTTATGATTGGAGGATTGAATCTTTGTTCTGTTTATTCATGCAATATATATGCTAGGTTATTGTGGACTGTAGATTCCTCGTTATGCTGTGTGACATTAGGAACTTGTTTTTTCAATCAAACTCTGATTTGGTACCTGATATCCAAAGTCCCTCTAGTCCCCTGACTCCTCCCATCCTCTAATAATCACCACTCCGTGTTCAGACTGACTTAATATTTTAGTTTCCGCATATGAGGGAGAACATGTAGTATTTGTTTTTCTGTGCCTGGCTTATTTCACTTAAACATTTATGAGTAAATTTAATCAAAGAAGTGAAAGACCTCTACAAAGAAAATCCTAAAATGCTAATGAAAGAAACCATCAATGAAACAAAATGAAAAGATATTGCTCATAAGGTGAAGTAGTTAATATCATTAAAATATCCATAATATAGAAATATAGATTCACTGCAATTGCTATAAAAATAGCAATGACATTCTGTACACAATAAGGAAAAAAATCCTAAAATTCCTTTTGAACCACAAAAGATCCAAAATAGTCAAAATGATCCTGAGACAAAATAAGATAAAGATAGAAGCACTACCATACCTGATTTCAAAGCACATTACAAAGCTTTAGTAATTAGAATAGCATGGATCTGGCATAAAAACCAATTCATAGGTGAATGCAACAGAACAGAGAACCCAGAAATGAATGCATTATATACAGTCAACTGAGTTTTGACAAGATGCTAAATATACATTGGAGAAAGAAATCTTTTCAATAAATAAGGCTGGCAAAATTGAACATACTATGTATAAAAATAAATTAGGTCCCAAGCTCTCACCATTTAGAAAAATTAACTCAAGATGGGTTAAAGATCTAAATATAAGACTTAAATAAACCACAAATCTGTTAGAAGACACCTAAAGGAAACACTTGGGACAGAGAGAGGATGGGAAGTATCACAATATTCATGTAATTGTGTCTATGAACTACATTGCATCTGTTCTCTTTGTACTAATATCACATTAATAAGGGGATCTAAAACAAGATATTGGCACAGGCAATGATTTAATAAACAAGACCCCTAAACACAGGCAGCTAGAGCAAACCTAGAAAAGTGAGATTATATCAAACACAGAAGCTTTGGCACAGCAAAGGAAACAATACAGTGAAGGACATCTGACAGAATGGGAGAAAATATTTGCAAGCTACTGAGCCAAGAAAGGATTGATATCAAGAATAAATAAGGAACTCAAAAAAACTTAAGAATAAAAACAACCAGCCAGTTAAGAAGTAGGCAAAAGATCTGAATTACAGCTCTCAAAAGAAGAAATACAAATTGCTAAAAAGTACATGAAAAAATGCTCCATATCACATCAGGGAAATGCAAGTCAAAGCTATAATGAGATATTACTTCACTCTTAGGATTTAAGGCTATTACAAAAAAGACAGAAAGTAACAAATGCTGGCAGGGATGTAGAGCAAAAAAAATTGTACACTGATGGTGTGGAGATTTCTTAACTAGGAATAGACCTGCCATATGAACCAGCAATCCCATTACTGGCTATATATCCAAAAGACAAGAAATCACTGTATCAAAGAGATATCTATTCAGGGCTGGCACTGTGGCATAGAAGGTAAAGCCTCCGCCTACAGCACTAGCATCCCTTAAGGGCGCTGGTTCGAGTCTTGGCTGCTCTGCCTCCAATCAAGCTCCCTGCTATTGAGCCTGGGAAAGCAGAGGAAAATGGCCCAAGTGCGTGGGCCCCTGTTCTCATGTGGGAGACCTAGAAGAAGCTCCTGGCTCCTGGTTTTGGATCAGTCCAGCTTGACTGTTGTGGCCATTTGGGAAGTAGATGGAAGATTTCTCTCTCTCTCGCTCACTCTCTCTAGCTCACTCACTCGCTCTGCCTTTCAGATACATAAATAAATCTTAAAACAAAAAGCTATCTACTTTACCATGTTTACAGCAGCACTGCTCACAACAGCTAAGATATGGAATCAACCAAACTGTGCACTAGAAGGTGAAAGGAGAAAGAAAATATGGTATGTACATAATCAGACAGTATTCAGCCGAAAAAATTAAATCGTCATTTTTGGATGGAGCTGGAGGACATCACGCTAATGAAAGAAAAATTACTTTTACCAAACCTTTATCCTATAAAATCCATAGAAACTTGGAGGTGGTGGTGTGGCACAGTGGGTTATGCTTCTGTTTGTGACAAAAGTATTCCATATTGGAGTGGCAGGTTGAGTTCTGACTACCCCACTTCCAATCCAGCCTCATGTTAATGTGCCTGGATTGAGTTGCTTGGGTCCCAGATGGAGTTCCTGGTTCTTAGCTTCAGCTTGGCCTAGTCCTGCTGTTGCAGGCATTTGGGTTAGGAAAAAGGATTGAAAAGCAACAAAAGGAACTCAAAACAAGAAAGTCACATAAAAGGTTTTGTCCTTATTCAGTGTGAGGTGGGATCAGATCCACTGAAGTTTACATGAGAGATGAACCAGATGATTATGAGAAAAGTTCAGGCTGTGATGAGGACAATGGCAACAACAATGGGGGGTCTGGAGGCACAAAGGTCATTCAGGAACCCAATGATGCAGTCCAGGTGAGGGCTGATGATGAAGTGAATCCTATGTGGTGTCCATGGGAATGGATACCCACTGGTTTTCAAGGTATGGGTATATATACCCCAATATTTGTACATTTTTTCAAATCTGCTATCACTGGGTTTAAAATATTTATATTTGTGTGTATCTGTGTGTACTACCTATGCAGTGACCTAGAAAATCCATCTAACTTGGAGATATTATGAAGCTACTTGGATACCTGTTATCTCAATGTGACCAATACTTGAGGGGTGGGTATTGTGGTTCAGTGGGTTAAGTCACTGCTTGGGACACCCACATCCCAAATTGAAGTACCTGATTTGAGTACTGGTCCCCTTCTTCCATTCCTACTAATGTTGCCTGGAAAGCAGCAGATGTTGGCTCAATCACTTGGGTCCCTGCCACCCACATGCAAAACTCAGACAAGATTAAGGTTCCTAGCTTTGCTGACTTAGTTCTGGCTGTTATAGGCATTTTAGGAGTCAACTAGCAGATGGAAGATTCACTCATTATCATTCTCTCTCTCTCCCTCTCTGTCATTGTCACCGTGCCATTCAAGCAGATGAAAATAAATAAATCTTTAATACATACATTGTTTCATTTTATGGGAAAGGAAAGTCAGTCAACTATGCTAGCACCTAGGATGTTGTTCAGGAACCACACATCACTTGTGACTTGTAGGAGGAAATGAAGTGAGTCTAGCATCCCTGGCTTTGGCCACCAGAATCATGGAGCCCAATTCCTACCTTACTTGTCAACAGTTTAGGATACTTTTTAGTTTTCCAAATACATGGGATTTCTTTTTGTGGCAGAAAAAAAATGGGCCTCGTGGGCCTCATGAAATATAGTAAGTCAACAAATAAACAGTTTTGCTCTCCATCTTTCTTCCTTAGAGACAGCTGGAAGTTTGTGAATCTGTACACAATAAAATTCTACAGAGAATCCCACTAGATCTTCAAAAATGAACTTAATTCTCTTTTTCCAAAATGCAACATCAAAGTCAGACATGTCCAACAAATCTCACATTTTTCCTAAATTCATTTTCAGAGCATATTACTACACAATTCATTTTGAAAGTTCTAGCAAATTGTATCCCTAAAGCCAACATTTAACACATACTACACTGATAATATTCAAGGAGAGGCTTACTAAAAAAATCAGACTTAAATGTACGAAGCTTTTATCATATTTGAAGTCATTCTCTACCCTTGAGGATCAGTGAATGACAACATAATACGTTCTCAATCTTTGTTCATTACTAAAGAAGACACCTCAGGTCAGCTTGACAACAGAGAGAGAATCAGGGTGTCCTGAAATACAATGTGGGTGGATGGCCTCTGAGAAATCAGCTTTGATGGCTGGGCCTTTGTAAATGGCCTAAAATTATGATGTTTTCTTAATGTTTGCTGCTGCCCACATGTGCTTCATGAATCAAGAGCCAATCACTTCTTCTGCCAGGGTGACAACAATGAATATTAGTCACGAAGGAATAGAACAGTGACAGTGCTCAATTTCTTAACCACCATACTCTAAGATGAAATAATCATGGAAGCTTTGAAGAGAAAACATTTTAATGGACAGTATTCAAGTTATTGGAAAATACTTGAGTGCCAAATTGAGATTTCTATTGTACCAGATATTTTGTTTGATTTAGTTTTTAAAATTGGACCTCTAAAATTTTTTTCTTTACCTTAGCATTAAGTGCTACTCTTGTTTAGTAACATTTTAAAATCTAATGTCTTGTCATTGATTAATGTCGTTCAA